TTGCTTCATCACATCTGCCCTGGAGTGCAGCGGCCTCACATCTGAGCTCACTTCCTCTTTCTCCCAGCATTCTGTTCTATTTACTCCACCCACCTATGTTCCCACCTATCAGGGCCAAGCAGTTTCTTTATTATTTAACCAATAAAATCAACAGATTGATATACGACACTCCACATCATTTTCCAAGATAAGATGGCAAAAGGGTCCTAAAAAGCAGCAACACTTAGGGTTCCCTTTCAAGATAAAGCTGTGAGCCACCCAAAATATTGTTTTGGGTGTTATTGAGGGTACAATTTAATCTTGCACGGTATTTTATGTTTAGATGGGTAGTCACAAATAACCAAGGAAAGAATGTTATTTTTTTTTTTTTTACATTATACAAAAAATTTGCTGAAACAGTTCAGAAACAAGCAGGAAAAGCTAAAGTGTAAGGTAGTTTCAGTTCTTAAAGGGGAAAATCTCTAACCTCTGGACATCCCAGCTATATAGAAATATTCATTTTTTAAGAGCTGTAGGAAAACCCAGTTTTACTAACTCAAGACCAAGAAGTCTCCTCTTGGAGAATTTCTAAGGGAAAAATGCTTCTAGTTAGAAAAAGAATTTGTGAGAGTATTGGGTGATTTTGAAAGTGACATATTCCCCATCAAGACTAGAAATTAAAGTTTGCTTTTGACCCAATTTTAATGTCAAAATTACGTTTTCAGAAACAAATGTTGTTCTTGTCTCTTGCTGTGTTTCTGTGTTAACCTGGCTGTCTCATTAGATGGGGACATTTCCTAGTGAAATTAAGGTGACATTTAGAGAAAAATTTCTCATTCAAATGTTTCATGTTACGTGCCATTTAGAATACCTAGAGATGAGACTGGAATAATGTCAAGCAAATTTTGATTAAAAAAGACCAACCAGGAGCTTTATTTACACACAAAAGTAAAACTCTGTTATTATTTTTTGAAAAGTCTGTTCCTTCCTTCTATGGTTCTTTTTCCTACATTGAGATCACCTTGACTGATAAACTTCAGAAGTGCTATCATATGATCAACTGATAGCACAATATGACAATCGGCTTGTATGAGCTGTAGAGAGCTGTGTGGAGCCATACCTGATGGTGCTGGCTTTCACCCTCCGCGATCTCGAAAGCGAGTGCTCTCTGTGATAATCAACTCCTAATATTGGCTAAGGCCTGACTCATGCTATTATGACGCAATGATTGTCAGCTGCTTGCATATGCGTGGACCTATGGGCAGTGCCCACCTGGCAATCCGGGGTTGGCGGCCCATGCCTTTTTAAAGGCTGGGAGAGGTTTGCCTGGAAAGAGAGAGAGAGAGAGAGAGAGAGAGAGAGAGAGAGAGAGAGAGAGAGAGAGAGAGAAGAGAGAGAAAGAAAGAGAAGGAGGTAGCTTGCTGTGAACAAGGTCCTGAATAAACTACCTGCAAGAAGAGCTCCGGTGTTGCATCTTCCTTGCTGGTCAAGGCGGGCGCGACAATGAGCAAACATGGGGCATTTAGCCAAAGCCGATAACTAGTTCTTTGTTTATGACATTTAAACTTCACCATGGAGGTATATCCACCTTACCATGGAAACTTTAAAAGTAGCATGGATTCCAGGCCAATTAGCGCAGCATTTTTGGTAGATGGTACTTTCTAAAACATTCCTGACATGATTCTGATATGCACTTGGGCTGGGAAACACTCATTTGAGATGTGCAAGCTGTTCCAGTTCATTAAGACAAGATGGTTTGTTTCTCAGGATGCTCAAGGTATCACTCTTCACCAGATGAGGAAAAATCCATTCTTTCAGTGCGCAAGAATTGGATTTGAGTACACACCTGGACTCAGTCTGAGACAGAATGTCTTTTGTACTGATATATGTGTGTGCAGTAGATTTGCACGTGCATATAGACCTGAAGTTGATGTCAAGTATTTTTCTTAGACACTCTTTACCTTATTATGCATTGAGACATGCTCCACTGTACCCAGAACTCGTGGTTTCAGCTAGTCTGGCTAGTTAGCATGATCTGGTTATTCTCAGTTTCTGCTTGCCAAAGGATTACAGGTGGGCTGCCAGGCACACGATTGGCTTTTATGTGGGCCCAGGGCATGCAGAGTCCTGTCTTCATGCTTGTACATGACGTCTCCTCAGACTGATCTTGATTCTTGATGCTAATAAATGTAGATACGTAACATAATAGGCCTGCATGGCCAGTTAACTCAGTTGTTCTGAATGTAGTGCTTAAGCCAGAATAGTGGATTCTGTTCACGTGCGAATGATTCTATTGCATAGATTGTTCCTGTAATTGCAACCAAGCTACTTCTTTAGGGACTGATGCTAGCTGTAAAGGCAAAGAGGTGGAATAGCTCCATTCATTCTGAGAAAGTTGATTCTAGAATCTGTTTTACGAGGATGCAGCATGGTCCATCTGCTGCTTTGCATAATGGAACATCCTTATTTGGAGTTCAGAATTCACAAGACTGGGAAACTTACTCATTAAGTTTGAAGAAGAGAGAAGATAGAGGAAGATGATAAAGTTCAGTGTTATTTTTCTACCTTGAATGTCATATCATACCTGTGACATCTGTCAATGATTAGCCAATTTGTGAACCTTGGTGAGTGGGAAGAATTGTTAAGGTCATTATGACCAGGACTTCTAGACTTCTCTAGTACTAACTTATTGACAGTGAGTGGAATACCTTATGATAAGATAGATTATTCCCTAAGGAGTCAAAAATAATACAGTCATAAGAGCGAACATTTGCATGATTATTCCTCTCTTTTCATACATGTGGTCCTTGCATGGTGTATGGAGGTCAGGACATCACAATGCACAGAGATTTAAATGCTTTCATCTGCACACACACGTAAAATATTCTTCTGGAAAATATGTTTTTCTTAATGTGATGGTAACTTGGTATGGTGTTCCTGATTTTTCTGCAAGCCCAATCAATACCTTCTACTTTTCTTTTTTTTTCTAGTGCTTTGTGTATCTATGTATTTTTTTTTGTGCTACATTTCTTGTAAAGATTCAGTAAGTTTGAACAGGCCAGGCACTTGTTTCTTTATGAGAATGAAGTAAATTTCTGGTTCTACTTGTGATTTCAAGCTCCATAGAAATCAGTGTTGGCATGGAATCTCATTGTGAACACTGATAAATGCTGTTGAATTTCTCTTTTGAATTCATGTTCCTATTGTACTTCGCACAGGAGGAAACTGAGGCACAGAAAATTAAGTTAAATTTAGCAAAGATTGTTTAATGATACAAAGAAGTAGATCACTGAGTGCTCAGTCCATCTCCTATTTTGATAGGGTACCATGATTTTTATCAGGGGACAACTTGTTAAATTGAGTATTGCAGTGAATATAATAAAACAACCGACACTTAACACCATTTTGCCCATTGTGTTGGTAAAAAAAAAATAGTTAGATCGAATGTTTCTTGGTTAAGGGACTTCTGAATAAGTTATTATAGCAAATACTAAGGTCATATTTCCAACACATATCTCCACTAATTACTTATTGCACAATCTCAGCATTCACTTACAGATCAATACAGAAAAATGGACTGACCATTTTTATTTTTTTATTCTTTGGAACTATTTCTTCCAATATCATCAGAAATTACTTGTTATTTTATTTACACCAAAGGGTATCTAAACATTTAGAAGAAGCAGTGTAAATAGACATTATCCAGTCTATCTTCAAGTGAGGGCTGTGTGGAAACATGGACATATGTGAGTAAGTACTGGACACTGGTGGGTTTTGTTTTCTTTTCAGTTCTCTCTCCTTTTATCCTCCCAACTAGTTAGTGCCAGCTTCCTGCTTACTTTCTAGGCATGTAGGGCCCTTCCCCTGACTGTTAGCTGTTTAGTGTGGTAGCTGGGTCTGCTATTACCTGCCTCATTTTCTCCTCTATCAAACTATGAATCTTTGAATGTCAGGATTGCATCTAAGAGCCTCGGGCAGTCAATGTCTGACAGGTAGTCATCTGAAAAGAATCTGCTATTTTGTTCTCTAGACAGCTATTGTATTTCCATTTCCAGGCACTTCCAGTTGAAGTGATTGCAGAAGGCTGCTAAAGAATGGTGGGAATAGCTGAATGGCAGGATGAGGGAAGAGATGTGTTTGGGCATTTGGAGTTCATATAAAGGTTCAACAAGAGCTGTGCTTTTAACATTGGTGTATGGTCATGTTTTCTAGGACACTGACTTTAGTAGAGATGTGTCCTTGGCTTCTATCCATTTTAAGACTGCCCCCCCTTCAAACTGCCCAGATGCCCTGTGCTCAAAAGCTGTTTTCCTATCTCTTTCATCTTTCAGGTACCCTGCACTTGCTTTTGTAAAGCCCTTGCTCCAGCCAGCTACTGTAACCAGATTACACAGTAGAGATTTAATGAGAGGAACTGAGACGGGTTTGCTTGCAAACTTCATGCTACACATGAAAGGCTTTGTTACCCCATGTGGGCTGCTTTTTACCCTGTTTTGGGCATAATACTTGTTTGCCTTTATATCTGTGATAAAATAAAAGCCATCTTGTGTAACTGATGCTGAGCAAAAGTCTTAAAACAAAGGGAAGTGCAGCGTTTAAACCCATAGTAGGAGATTACCTTGCCACATTTTCATATCTTTGGAATAAATATTTTAACATGTTAATTATCTACTTCTAATAAAAATACCTTTGAACTTATAGTCAATTTGGTGGGCATAAAATGGTCTCTGCTGGGGAATTGGGAGCAATTAGTTTCTGTAGCGATTGTGAGTCATACTGTCTCTTGTCTCTAAGTGGTTACATGGTCAGTAGCCAGCCATATTCTAGAGAATGTTTGTATCAAGTTCACCCTGGCCTTCAGGAGTAAGATGCTGCCTTTGGAGGGCCTTTGGAGGCCCCTAAGAAGGCATTCATCAAACTGCTGCCCCATTACTGCTTTGCACTGTAAAATAATCCTTTTAAGTAGAACATTTGTATTCTTATTGTGAATAATTTTTTAATCTTTTTCTTTCTCATTGCAGACTGAAAATTATTCCTTTGACTCTAACTACGTGAACAGCCGTGCCCATTTGATCAAAAGGTATGTTGGTTTGCTTTCAAAGTCCTACTGCTTAGCTTGATTTAATATGAAAAAACCCCAAGCCATTAATTTTTAGAAACAATACCATTTTGACTGTGAGTGCTATGTGCTTGTGCTAGGAAGTGTGGGAAATATAGAGAAAGCATAGAAAGTAAGGATCACTGCTAATTCTCCTACACAAAGAGAATCAATATTTATTTCCACCAAAACATATGCAAAAATAAAAATAAAATTGGGATGGCATAAAATATTTTACTGGTGATTTTTGGAGTCAATATTAGAAAGATTAGAAAAATTAGAAAACTTTCAAAATCATACTGAGATCCAAACTTTTGTTGCCACTCAGTTTAAATAACTTTTGTTCTCTTGTGGAGCTTGTGGTATGTTCTGAGGTTGTTGTTATTTTGACAGTTTTCAAAATTTAAAGACATTTAAATGACAGATGAAATATCTTTTATAATACTTCCTAGATGAGAGAGGAAAAGAAAAATTTCCAATTTAATACTTGTCAAAGCATTTTGAAATGTTTTGGTGGAAATCTGAAATTTGTATGATTGGTTGCTTACAACTTAGCTGTAGTTTGAGTACAAAGCAGAGGCCATTATTGAAAGATTCCACCTGCTATGGCGAACCCTAAATTCTTGGTATTGGGAGGAAGATAAAAGCTTCACTGGAGGTAAAACTAAGCAAAGGAGAGAACATTGTGTGCAAAAGTATCCCAGAAGCTGCCCATTCCAATGATGCCTTTATTGTTGTTTCATGTAACTAGCCTCTTGAATGGTCCAGTAGTTATTCTGCAGTTAAAATTGAACACTAGGTATGTTTGTTAAAATAACAGCAATGAAGCAGAGGAGCAAACGGGCTGCATTAGAGCTGTAGTGGAAAAGATCTGAAAATTCTATTATTTTGCTGGCTGTAATCCCATAAATTTATATCACTGTAAGAGTGGGATTCAAAGCAAAAACAAAATCCCTATTTGTAGTATAAGAAACTTGAATTCACATCTAATTTAATCTACGATGCTGCAGTAACCCCCCAAACTATGGTAGATTCATCTATATTGGCTAGGGATAGCTTGTAACCTTAAGTGATGATCATTAATTATTTTGTATTATCAGTCATAGAATAATTTAGAAAATTTTTGAGTTGTGGGGAAGAATGCTTTAAACAAAAGGCAAAGAATTGAAAATTATCTAAGTTATTTATTTTGGGAAGAAAGGAAAAGCTTCTTTATATGTACTGATTAGAGGCGCTTTGCGGGAAAATACTGCTTTGTTTTCTGCTTCGGGACTGTTATTTTCAGAGCTTCTTTTTGAACTGGTAAAAACAGTGACTTGCTTGATCTTTACAAGTCTCTGGAGCTAGCTCGTTCTGGGTACCTGGAAATTCTCTGACTAGGTTAAACTGATAACATGAGCCTGATTTTCATAGCCTAGTAGAAGGCTGGGACTCCTGGGGACCTGCACATCTTAGATCAGCTTCAAATATCCAACTTCCAAGGCAGACTTATGAGATAAAGACTTATGTTAAAGTGTTTAGCTTTGGGGATACATGTATTTCCACGACAGCTTTGAGACTCACTGGACACCTGTGATTTTGATTAATTACTTTACATGTATTTTTTATACACACATGCGCACAAAAGCTACATCCTGAACTGAGTGAGCTCTTGGAGGAAATATCTCCAGATGTGGCCTGAAATCAAAAGACAGCAGTTTATTTACCAGGGATCACCTGATTAAGAGGAAACATCTGAAAGCTTGGGAAACACACACAGTTTTGTCAGTTTCTTTTTATAGAACTGTGGCGGTTAAAGGTTTAAAAACCTTTAAGGCCTTAGAATTTATAGGGACAGTTGCATTTAAAAAAATGCCTATCCCTAGAAAGATACAGGCTGTTTTGTGTGTTATCCGTTTCGAGAGGATAGCCATTGCAAGTGTAAAATTGGTAGGAGATGACAGTGGTGACTAACACAGCACGGATCCCCCGTGAGGGGAAGAGTGATCAGCTGGCTTCCCAAGATGTTTAAGAGGTGTATATGTTTTCTTCAAGACTCATGTTTGAAAAAAAAAAAAAGCTTTTGGACAGGAAATTCCGAATCTTGTCATCAGTCTTAATATTATTAGCAAATCTCTGATTTTTTTTAAAATGTCAGGCAAAGCTCAGCCAAACTGAGCTTTGATTTGTTTCCTATACATTTTTTCTCACCTGACATTCAATTTTTAATTATCCACGGACATTTCCTGAATGTTGTTTTGAACTTTCTTTGCCTGACTCTTACACACACTTTATTCTTTTACAGCTGTCTACATTTGGGAGTTGAGCACTGGTCATCCCTGGCCCTTTCTTGCAGCAGTCAGAGTTTCTATAAAAAGATGGGGAAAATGTATTTCATTTTTCTGGTATAAGAACAAAGGAGTTCAAAATACTACTGAAACAACTTATCAAGAGAAACATGGGAGGAGTAAGAATGACATCTGGTCATTTGAGGGCTGTGGTCATGATGAAGTGATTTCATACGACAGTCAGTACCTTAATATCCATCTTCTATTGTCTTATATTCTGTTATTGGCAATCACAGGGGTAATCTCAATATAACTCCAAAGGGGAACAAGGTTTTATAGACATGAACCAAAATTGAAAAGCATGAGGACTGCATCTGGAAGGGACAAAGAAGGTCTATGGAATATTCCCCACAATTTTCTGTATGGAGGAATTCCAACATTATAGCTCTGAATTATTTTTTATAACATTAAATGCAGTCTTAAGATATACCCAAGGGGAAAAAAAGATATACCCAAGGAGCAATCAGGGTTCCCTGCCCTGTGGGAAGTCCAAGGACCTCCCACCTCCATCCAGGTCTAGTAAGGTGAGCATCCAAACTGCCTAGGCTCCCACAAAGCCAGTAGGTGCAGTAGGATCAGAAACCCATTGCCATTGTTCTTGAGCTCTCAGTAGTCCTCATTGTCCGCTATGTTCAGAGAGTCCGGTTTTATCCCAGGCTTTTTCAGACCCAGGCCAGCTGGCCTTGGTGAGTTCCCGATAGAACATCCCCATTGTCTCAGTGTGTGGGTGCACCCCGATTGAGGGAGGGGGAGGGACATGGGAGGCGGTGGCGGGGAAGAGACAGAAATCTTTAATAAATAAATAAATAAATAAATAAAAAGAGCAAAACAGCAAAAAAAAAAAAAGCTGGTAGAACTACAGTGATGTTGATTTAGCAACACATGATTAAACTGTTTCTAACTTTCTGCTACCAAAAAACAAAACAAAATAAACAAACAAAAAAACGATATACTCAAGGTAGTTTCTGAGAGAAGCCCAGGTTAGCAAAATAAGTTGGGAATTTTTTTTCAGAGTGTAATTTTTATTCCCACTGTGTTTGTATCCTTGCTATGGTCTCAAAGTAAGAAAGGCCACCAGTGCTACTTTACCCCGGCTGTAACAGTCTTTCCTCAATCTTGCTCTCTGCACTGCCGGCTAATATCTATTCCTGTGGTGTTTTTGGGGCCATACCAAGCAGAACACGAGGCTGTAGCTCAAAGAAAACACAATAGCAATTGAGCAACACATCAGAAACAGTTTAGAGAGGAAAATGAGCCCTGGTTTCTAAGCTATGTATGGGGGTTTTCCTTACCAACAAAACTGTCCCGGAGTTCTGTAGCATCTGCTATGGTGCCATGTATATAGTAAGTATTTGGTACATCTTTTTCAGATAACCATGAGTAAGGCGTGGAAGGAAACATCCTAATTTTCCCACTTAAATAAAAACAGCAGTAAACTTTCTTTGAAAACAACAATTTCTGAACAATACTATACATTGATAAAGGCAGTCCTTAACTCCAGCTTCAGAGAAGTTTCAAATTTAACAGGTTTCAAGGTGATTTATGACAGAGGTGGTCCAGAAAACACTCTGGATTATATTTTTAAAAGCCAGTTACAATACTCTTTTGACTTTCTCTTCTTAATTGCAAATGATATTCTCTAAATACGTGGGATAGGCTATTGGAGATATGACCTGCATTTTTTCAGATTCATCTATCTTTTGCAAAATTATTATTTTAAAGGGCACACATAGTATTAGTATTAGAGTAATATTTTTTCTAGCTTATGTAGACAAAACCTTGTGTATAGAACCTTGTTCTAGGTGTTTTCAAATAAACTTGTACCTCTGCAGGCCACCAGAGCAGTAATAGAAACGTTTGCATTTACAATACCATTGGAAACAGATGCCCCTTATTTATTGTCCCACAAAAGTTGTTTTACAAGTCTCTCATCTCCCAAGAGGTAGACAGGTAATAAAGCTAGTGAAATCAGCGTTTTTTATGCCTGGCATAAATTGTTATTTGTTTTGGGTGAGTAGCCATTTACCAGGCTGTTTTACTGTTTGCAGCATGTTGCTCACTGGTTCTTAAACTGCCTTACACAAATTCATCCATTAAGCTACTAAATGTCCTTACAAGATCACAGTAATCGGTACTTTGTTTGTCAGATGGGCAAACTGATCTTTAACTGAGTTAACTGTCCTGAGGTATGAGAAGGTGGCCATACCTTTGATTTTTCTTCTCTTGCTCACACCAGCAGTTCCTTAGATCCTTGTAGCTAATCCTTTACAGTTTTAATATTTATGCTTTTTGAAACCTGAAACAAACAAACAAAAAACAATCAAACAAAATACCTGGAAGCCCTGAGGTATATTGCAGTATTCTGATGCATATAAAATAGATGACCAAATTTTTGAAAGTCAGATCTCAAACCAATTAGAAGTGAGATAGAGATTACCAGCTTCCAGAGAGATAAGATAATTAAACAATTAAACATTATGTTTAGCTTGAAGATTTTGAGAAGTCAAAACAGTATATAAGGTCATATATTTTATCATTCAATAAAGCAAGGATACATATTTGACAGGAGAGATAGTTCTCTGTTCCTGATTTTAGGAGAAATAGAACAATGGACAATGGCTGACAGTTGTTTACATGAAGACAGGAACATTCATTAAATAAATATAAAATTCTTATACCAATCTCATAAATTATCATAGCTATACTGTTTAATTGTAATGTGAATGAGACATTATAATACAGAATAATGATCATATTTCTATCTGGATCTTTGTGCAAAGTATTTCAATGAGTCCTCAGAATGATCTTGTGAGGATTATATGTGGAGCCCAGAGACATAGAAATAAAATAGCAGATTTTGGGTTATTACTTGCCCTAATGACTCCAAGTTCAGTGCTTTCTCTTGCACGCTATATTACAAGAATACTGGAGAAAAAAAATGTATCAAGTTGTTCTAACTGAGGGTGATCTGGCAGTGTCTCCCTGAGGAGATTTTTCACTGTTAAACTTGGTGGTGGTCATCACTGGCATCTAATGGGCAAAGGCCAATAGGCCAATTAAATATCTCATAATGCACAGAACGTACACAACCAAGAATTATGTGACCTAAAAATTCAATAGTGCCAAGATTAAGATTCTCTATTCTAAGGGATGGCCAATTACATTTGTCTTTAGACTATTTCATTCGCCATCATATATCTCAAGCAAATTTTGGCAACTGCTGAAATGCATTCAATTTAGACTTGAGATCTTTGGCTTAACATGGCAGTTTTTGTGCTGAGGATTTAAAGAACTTTTCGTTATGTTTCAAAACCAGATGATATAGGCTGAAAAGCTAATATTTGTTATAGAATGGAACAGCCTGTAATATCATCTAGGCAGGTCATTTGTTCTCTCTTGAGGTATATGAGTGCTTGTAGGCAGGGCCAATTTTTGTTTCTAAAATATAAACTTTGAATCTATTTAAACTTTGAATTAGTATATACAGAAAGCCACAGAGTCTGTGCCATGAAGGTGGAAACGGTGAGAAACTTTTAAATCATAAGTTTCCAATTGGTCTTTTTGATCACGAAAGAACTGTAGAACTTTCTTAAATAGATCTGCATTCTGGTAGGTGGATAGGACTGAGTTATCTGTGTGACGTAATTTGGAGGAATTGCGTGACTGTTGAGTGACTGGATTTTAGTGACTTTGATGCTCAGATATATTTTCTGAAGTAGTTAACTAACAGGCTAGTGCTTCCCATCACCAAACTCTTCATTTCATTATTCCAGTTACTGCTCTCTTGAGCTTTCACTTTTTATGCTTATGCCACCAAGGATTCAACATCCAGGTTGATCATGTGTTAATTTTATGTGTGCTTCCTTTAGGACAAATGTGCAGAGTGGCAATGTATCCTTGTGTTCATGGCATAGCTCTTTACCATATGTAGTGAATATTCTTATGTCCCCGAGGGACAGGGCTGTGAATGTTGACTCATGCAGTTTAAGATGTTGATACATGCAGTTGTTGAATATTCAGAATTTCTGTGCTCTGTCACCAATAAACTAGAAGACCAGAGAAGATGATGGTATACTTGAAAGCCCGAGAATTAGAGACCCAGTTGTAGAGATCCCAGTGTGAGCCTGAAAGCCTGGAAATGAGGAGAACTGAATATGGAAGAATATTGATGTTCCAGTTCAAGCAGAAAGAATATTCAACATTTTGCCTATTGTTCTTTTCAGGTCTTCTTCAATGGATTGGATGAGTCCCACCAATACTGGGAAAAGATCCATGCTTTATTCAGTTCTTCAATCAGCTAACCCACTCAAAGACCCATTCCAAAATAAGGCTTAACTGGCTACCTGGATTACCCTTGGTCCAGTCAAGTTGACACATAAAATTATCCCCAACACATTCCATGTACCAACTGTTTTTCTCAGCTCCTGTCAGTCATCCTTTTCTTTGAATTGGTTCCTCTGCCATTTTTACTCAGAACTGGCAGGAAGACATGTGGTATTGCAGTTTAGGTTTGTAATCCCAGGATGCAGGAGGAGGCTGATGAAGGGGCTTATCCCAAGTTCAAAGACTAGTGTGGGCTGTGTATCAAGTTCCAGGTCAACCTGATGTACAGAATGAGACCCTGTCTTAAAAACAAAACAAGCAATCAAACAACTAGGAAACTGACCTGGTTTCTCCAACCTTGATCATCCTTTTAATTTTAATTATACTATTTCAAGTTCTGCCATTTTTGCTTTTTATAGTTGGTGATTATTAGATATCTCTAGAGAAGCAATTTTCATAATAGTTAAGATTTTAAGTACTGAAACTTGACAAGCAAGGGTTGATCTTACATGTGCTATACTTTTTTCCCCAGCAGTGTGACCTTGGGCAAGTTATTTAACTTCTATATATCTCTGTTATCTCACCTGCAAGTAGTAATATTATTAGCACCTTTTCCTTGTACAGTATTAATGGCTTAAAAAGTTAATGTTGATCTCTTAAAATAGTAACTCATAAACTGTAATTTCTCAGAAAACATTGGCTATATCTATTTGACTCTAACTGTATTGAAATAGAAAAACTGCAATGTTGACATTCTTTAAAAGTGCTTTTAGATTTTTGTCTTGTTCGTCCTTGTCTGTTGTGTAACACTAAAAAGAAGCAAATAAAAATAATTAGCTGTATCAACATCCAATGTTGAGAACTTCTATGTATTGTTAAGTTGTATTACCTTCAAACAGAAATGTCTCTTCTCCATATTTTTTTCCCTTTTGGACACTCTAGCTCCTGCTGGCCTCCTTACAGAGCTGACATCATCCTGGCCTGGAAAGATTTTAAAAATCAGATCTATCACAGTTGTAAATTAACATATTTTCTTCAACTCAGCAGCTCCACCTTCAAGGACCTGGAGGGCAACAGCCTGAAGGATAGTGGACATGAGGAGAGTGACCAGACTGACAGCGAGCATGATGTCCAGAGGAGCCTGTACTGTGATACTGCTTTGAACGATGTGCTGAATACCAGTGTGACCTCCATGGGATCTCAGATGCCCGACCATGGTAAGGGATGGACAACGTTAAGTCGAAACTATGTGTTCCAAAGAACCAAGAATCTTTCTAGACATATTGTGTTACTTTACTGCAGGGCACATGTTATTATGGAGGGATTCCCTTAGCTCACGTGTTAACAGCATATCGAGAGTTTTGAGGTGTTACAACATCTATCAGGATAAGTCTACCTTCTTATGTAATGTTGGGGAATTTTATAAGGTGACTGAATCCACATTGTTTTTAAATAATAACTGCTTTGAGCCCATAGGAAGTAAGCAGATGCTTTCTCATCAGGAATAAATGACTGTTATGCTATAGTGTATGAATTCAGCTGATCAATTAAATTGCATAGAATGCAACTCTAATGAGACCAGAGGGGTGGGATTTATTTCTCTACTAGTCTAGCAAACTTTTCCCAGAGACTATTCTCTGCCCATGGATTTTGTAGTCTTTCCTGAGGATAGAAAATGCTAGACTTTCCATTTTGCCTACAGGACTACTATTCCAAAGCCATGGAGCTACTGAAGAAGCCCGTGCCATTGGTTACAGGGTAGACAGGTCAAAAGAATGTGACTGAGTCAATACAAAGCCTTCTGTTATTGTGAGATGAGTGAGTCACAAAGCACATGTCAGGAGCCACATCCCCATGTGGGAAGAGAATCTACTTGTATGAATCCAGGCACAAGCACTTTTAGAGAGAGGTGCTCTTTAAAACTGTGATAGGCAGAAACCAGGTTCTGAAAACAGTAGCAGAGTTCAGCTAAGGCAGATTGTTCATACAGACTTGGGCACAAATGTCACTTTCAATATTTTACTGATGTAAACATGGTATGCAAACAGCCTGTCTTTCCCAATTAAGAAGTATGAATTCAATTTGGTGTTTAGGCTCAGTGAAGCTTCCGAATGCTTGGCTATGTCTTGAGAAAAGCTAGTCTCATGCTCAGCTGGAAGTCCTACTGCTAAAAGTCTTAAAGATGAGAAAACAAAATATGGTAATTCCGTGCTGGTCGTCAGCTGTCTCATTTCACTGTAAACATCATTAAACTCTTTTGTTTTGGTTTTCTAAATGAATCCAAAAAATGCATGATTCACAAAACAAAATGTTTCTTCATGGAAAAAAGTAGCCACTGTAGATTCTATTAAATTGTCTAATCCATTCCCTCCTCAGGAGACTCAAGTGTCAAAGTCTATAATATAGAGAGGTCACTACCAATTGTACCCTGCTTCTTTCCTTAATTGGAGAGTGGTGACATCTGCAGAGATAATATACTTTCTGGGAAATCTTCCTATATGACTGAGGATAAAGAATTAAACATTTTTATAGCTGAAACAGAGGCAATTTAATTCTCAGAAGATGCAGACAGATATGTATCATTTCCTACTCATGTGTATCTCAAAGAAATGCGCTCTTTGTTGAGATCAGGGAGGTTTTCTGTTAGATGCTCTCCAAAATGAAATGACTCCAGGAAAGAAAATAGTTGTAATTGATTCTCGCTTTATGCCTGGCTGGACCAACATCTGTTTTAATTTTTTCTCATATTTCTCAAGGAAAACAATATCAGTGGGTTGCAGCTAGATGTTCCGAGTGTTTCTTACAAACGGGTTGCATTACGTACTGTATAGATTGAATAATAGTAAGAATATTAGAAAACAAATATGTGACAGTATCCAAAGACTCTCTTACATAACAAAGTGATGACTTCACACACATCCGTGCCTGTAGACACATTTTTTCTTGGTATACCATTTTGACAACATCTTTACATTTTGTTTTTTGGTATTTGATTGACATGCTTTTCTTTTCTTTTTTCTTTCTTTCTTTTTTATTGTTCTGACAATGACTAAACTTTGAGCCAACCCTTGACCTGGTCCTTTCCAGTTTGAGTGGCAAAAGGAATTAAACTCTTGTTTGCATCTCAGTCTTTACCTGTGATAGCCCACAACTTCCAATGGTTTTGTAATGATATGTAGCTGTGGTATTCCAAATCATCTCCAGGCTTGCCACAGGAACCGTGTCACCAGCTATCTTGGGTTGATTATATTTCTCTGAAAATCATCACAGCTTTTCCAGCCATTTAACATTTTTAAACATTTGTTGCCTTGAACCTGCAGTCATGGAAGGGCATCTTCTTTTATCCTTCGGCTCAGTAGTTGAAAGGCACTCACTGGGTGAATTCCCCAAACATGCCTGATTTTGAACTTCCCAGGCAAAGTTCTGAATCTGATACTTCTTCTGGTTTATGAGAACCATTGCAACATCACACCAAATGTAACCAGTAAAGGTTACCTTAACATCACTGTATTGGGGAGTTAGACTCACCTTGGGTGTCATAACTGGGTCTTCCTTATGACATTCCTACTTTTAACTTTAGCATTGCCTCTTTTTCTGTATATGTGGGAACATGTGTTTGATGAGAAATCCCAGGAATATCAAACTAAAATGACTTTACGCACCTATAATTTTTCCTTGAGCAGGCAGGAATGACGTGCTATATGGGTTCATATTGTATTGTCAATATTTAGAAAGCTACAAATTATATTTGGTTCATTCTTTTCAAGAGACATTGGAGACCTGGGTTTCATTGTACTGCTCTAAGTATCTTCAGTATTTTTGTAACTTTGCTACAGCATAAGAATTCTCAATGTGGTGCTGAACATAGCGGACAATGAGGAATACTGAGAATTGAAGAACAATTGCAGTGGGTTTTTGATCCTACTGCACGTACTGGCTTTGTGGGAGCCTAGGCAGTTTGAATGCTCACCTTACGAGACCTGGATAGAGGTGGGCAGTCCTTGGGCTTCCCACAGGTCAGGGAACCCTGATTGCTCTTCGAGCAGATGAGGGGGGGGGGGACTTGATCGGGGGAGGGGGAGGGAAATGGGAAGCGGTTGTGGGGACGAGGCAGAAATCCTTAATAAATAAATAAATTAAAAAAATAATTAAAAAAGAAAGAAAAAAAAAGAATTCTCAATGTGAATGGCAGGGAGATTTTCTGTCTTGAGTAAAGGGCCAAATGTCGTAGTTTTCAGTAGCTTTTCTATGAAACTCTTCCTATGCATAGAAACCCCAGAATCACTATGTTCAATGAAGGTAGGAGACTTTTAAAAAGACATTCAAATTTAAAGGTCAAAACCCTAGTCACTGGAGAGTTCCGATTGTGTTTTTGATTACATATTTCCACAAACATGTTTGTGAGCTGCGTCAGAATAGCAACAAAGGAATGTTAAGAGCCTCTGCTGTCTACCTTACTTTCAACCCTGGCATTTCTTAATGAGTTTGAAAACAGGGCAGGTGGTGGGTGAACTTGCTGAGCTTAATTCCCCGGTTGCTACAGAATTCCAGATTTATTTGTCATCCATCATGTCCATGAATTAATATGGCTTATCTCGGTTTGTCCCCAGTCCTGTGGATCTTGTGACTTCCCAGAAAGGAAGATAATGGAACATTTTTTAACATGTGCTTTCTCTTGACACACGGTCCTTCTTAGAATATTATCTCTCAATTGGTCTCAAAGTACCTTGAGAACAAGTTAAGTGTTGCCACGTTAGGCAGGCTTATCTTCTAACTTGGCTCATGAGGTGATTTGATGCTGAGCTATAGAGTCACAATCTCATCTCTTAACCAGTGCTTTCCCTCTCTGATTTTATTCAGTGAATTTACCACCTTCTTGAGAAGATAAGAATATTGACTCCTTAAGTCCCTGAAATTGACAAGTAGGGTGAAGAAAGATGTCAGTGGCTCATGGTTTTGTTGCGTAATTGAAAGCATTACCAGATTGAATCTTTTTGTAGTCAATGTTTCTCTGAGAGTAGTGATGGGGTTAGTAGACCTCTTGCTGCCCTCTCACCTTTTTTTGCAAGGTCATTTATAGTGCTGTGGCTATTGAATTATGCTTAACTGTGTAATATGAATATGAAACTGAAGTTTATGGGGATCATAGCTCAGAACTGCACACTAGTTCCAAGCCCAAGTAATTTGTTTCAGATCACACTCAATTTCATTCGTTATGATTTTAAACATTGATTATAAATTCATCTACTGAAAAGATGACTGTAATTGCTCTAATATGCACCTAGTTTGGAGTTTGCTACAACACTGAGTTGGTTTCCTTCCCATGCTAATTGGTACCAAATAGAAGCAATGCACAGAAATTTATAGTGATGTTGATCTAGTTTTCACATCCAAACACACTCAAATGCAAGATAATCAGTGCTTTATTTTGGAAAGTGTTAAGTACTTCTGCATTTTACTTAATTTGTTTATTTATTAAGATTATCACTTAAATATCGCTCAACATATTTGCGTGTAAAACATGAATCAGAAGAAGTTGGTGTGCATCTAATGTGACTACTACTACAAAATTGTCATAAAAATGTCCCATAGTCTTCACCCCATGCACAGATTAATGTCAACTACAAGTGTATTAAGATGTTTGTACCCTCAACACTCTATCACCAGCATCGAATTTCATTTTCTTTAGCCTTTTAAATAAATTATCATTCAGTGACTGGACAGCTTTATCTCCTTATCTATCCCCAGACTTTCCTCTCACCTCACTACATTTTCAAACACTCATTTCAATTAATCTCTTGGCAAAACAAGGAGTTCTCAGTGGAGAATATTTTGTGACATTGGAAAGAAATGTGCTGCTGGATTCCAGAAATTGTAGCATGGGCCAGATGTTCATAGAGTAATTGAAAATTCCATTTTATCAGAATAGCATTTGCTGTCAAAAAGTTTTATCTTTACTTCAACAAAGAGGTTGATTAGATCCCCCTGGACCTGAATTAGCATCTTTGAGGATAGATACACTGTTCTGCAATTCATGTGGTTATTTCTTCCCTAGTTCTCCTCCAGTAGAAACTTTTAGAAATATCTTCATCTTCTTGCAAATGTACCCACTGAAATGTTTAATTACTTGAATATAAGATTATGTTTACAATGTTGCTACATATGTATCTTTCATCTTTATTCATTCTGCCCCAGGTAGTATACTATTTTGACATTA